CCCACACCCCACACCCACACCCACACCCCACACCCACACCCACACCCTTCGATGTTAGATACATAAACTTGAAAAACAGTTAAACTTGTCTTCTTTGATTTGAGTCTTAGAAGAGCGATTCTTTCATTGGTTGGCTTCGAATCTAGAACTGCATCAGCTGGACAAGGACTTAGGAGTTTTGCTACTTGTGCTTGAACATGTGTTATTGGATCGGCAATAGCAATTCCGATGCTTAGTTCTACTGAACGTGCTGTTTAGGCATCGTGCAATTCCCTCATATCTTCCAGGACAGCTGCCAAGACTATCCCTAGCCGCTTGTTGTTGTTGAGTAGTTGGCTCTCGTAACTCTTTCGAGTTGATCCCGATCGATCAACGGGTACCAATGTTCGATCGATTACTAGACACTTGCATATGAACTTTAGTCTCAGGTCTGGCTTCAGGAATAGACGTCGGTATCTCACATCCCAGTGACATACGAATATTATAAGTTGCTTATATCTTGGGAGGTTTGCAAGTGCTCGATAACATTACTCAGGAAACACGGTGTCAAGGAAAGCTTGACTTGTTTCCCTATAGGAATTTTCGTTTAGACTTTATTAATAAAACTAAAACTTAATTTATTTAAATTGATCCATATATAAATCATGTAAAAGAAATTATTTATTATAAAATATGTTGTGAATGTATTAATATCTAATAATAAACATTCAAACGATTACTTTTTAGAATTCTTTTGTAATAGTACTCATAAATAAATGTGGAAACATCGGATTTAAATCCGAGTGTTATATGTACTTCAAAAAGTGAACTGAACAGATGAGTCATCCTACAACGTGTACGCATCAAAATTATCCTAGCGAGCCCCTTCTATTAAAACTTGATTTCTATTGGTTACTGCTCAACCAATAGGATTTCGAGGCAAGCCGAGCTCAGATTCGAGTTCTCCGCCCTAGAAAACCTCGAACTATCATCTCTGTGATCGAAAGATGGAGCTTTACTTTTCGATCAATTGGAACGTGGACAAAAACAGAACCAATTTCCGTTTAAGTATCTTTGCAATAGGTGACTTAGCCTTCTTGTTTCTTAATGTTTTATATACCATTTTGTAGCTCATAAAATTTTCTATCGAATGGTATATAATAGTTGGGATTTTGTTTGATCATGAGAGGAAAAGTTTTTTACGAAAAGCGGAATAGGTTAGTGTTCGCATAGAAAAGCATTGGGAATAATGACTCTATCTCCGATAACTCAGCAATGGCTCGACAAATCATTCTCATCTTCGAACTCGACCGAGATATTGATGAGACGAAACTGTATAGAAAATTTCATCGCGCTTGGACTTTCCTTTCGAAAGTTATCGTGTAAACGGCCGGACACACTGACCGATTCTATAGTGTACTCACTTGCTGAGTACACAAAAAGATAGAAGTTCCTAAAGATTATTTCTGTCTAGATAATGATTTATGTTTATCATAGATTATTACCACGTTTACTAACAATGATATTATTTTTCGTTGCTCATTGTTAGTGATAATATACTCTTGCTTTTGTTTGCTTGTAATTTATTTAACCCTCTACCCATGATAGGGCCTAAAGGGAGATAATGCTGATTACAAATAACTTATAAAGCATGAAAAGCAATTAAAGCAAATCAAAAGCAGAAAGCATATAAAATAACAAGGGTCAAGAGCGATGGTTTTGTCGAGTCGAACAACTTTGTTATGCGAGCAGAATGCATAGAACATCCACGAACGAATAGCTTCAGATGTGCAGAACAAAACAGAGTTATATAAACATGATGTTAAAGGAGAAAAAGCTCGAACATCATGCCAATTCTCGAAAACCGTACCAGGTGACATTGTGTCGATTCCTCGCCTCCCCCCACACCGCCCCGCTATGTTCTTTATTTCCTTATCTCTCGCTATAAATTAATGTTGTGATACCAAATATTACCTCAATATCCCTATTCAATTAACTTTCTCCATTCTATTTTCTATTTATTCATATGTACATTATTTTTTCCTTTTTCTCTTATATTCTTTTTCTCTTATATTCTTTTTCTCCATATATTTTATAACTGGTTTTATGATTCATTCTTTTTTATTTTCATACTTGTGGTGCAATACTCAAGAGGAAAGTGACACGTGTGCATTGCATCAGTTAGTCATCTGTCAGGTTTCAAAGATATACATATATTATAGTGACTTAAGAAACATTACGATTCTATTCAATACTTTAGCCCTGTCGAACAAGAAATCTATCTGTACAAATAACGATGCAAGTGTTTATACGATCAGCCGAACAGAATTGGAACTTTGGTGGTAAAAGTGATGAAGTATGGAATGGCTGGTGTCATGTTGAGTCAAAAGATAATTTTTGGGGATGTGGCAATAATATTGGACTCACTTTACAAAAAGGTATAACTCTAAGTACAATAATATCATAAATGTTCAATATTTTATTTATTTAAATATATCTATAATAGGTGATAATACATGTACATATCGTGCTTCATATTACAGTCCAACCTTTTCTTTGGTAAAAATAAATGGCAAACCAGCAAGTGGAACATTTACTTATGATCGAAGCAAATCTAAAGTCGAAGTCTATAATGCCTTTATCGAATTCATTGAAAGTCAAATCGGTGTCAACAATGCATAATTAATATATATTGTGACACACAACAGTAATGACTCATATCTTCTGAAATCTGAGTTAATACGAAATAATACTAAAAAGTAAATATAAATGAGAAGAATAATTCTATTGGGCTTCATTTAAGTTTATTAATAGTTTCAAGATAGAAAAAAGCGAGATTATATATAAATGAAAGTGAATTAAGAAATTAAAATGTTGAAAAATATTTGTGATTAGTATCGTATAAATTGTTGTATTCTACTATTAGCCATGTCTGCGACGTATAAATTTCGTTGAGTGTCAAGTGCAACCGAAAAAGGAGTATTAAGTAGATTAGCACTGTTTCCACTTACACCTGTAATACCTGCAATAGTTGTCTCATTTGATTGACCAGCTAAGAAAATTTGTATACGATGATTTAGCGTATCGGCAACATAAACATTACCCATGCTATCAAGCGTTACACCTACAGGGCTATTAAGTTGTTTTGATGAATTACCAGGTAAACCAGTTACACCAGCAACTAATGTCCAATAACTATCGCCTAAACTCCAACGAACAATATTATGAGCACCATAATTAGCAATAACTAAACTGTTTGATGATGAATCAAAATAGATTTCTCTCGAACCCGACAATTGTGTAGGACCTGTACCTCCTCCATTTCCTCCGGCAACGACACTACCAGATGAGACATCTGATGCATAGCTCATGATACGATCATTGTTCGTATCGGATATGTAAAGTGTATCTGTATTTGAATCACGTGTAATACCATATAGATGATCTAATTGATTGTTCGATGAACCAGAAGAACCTGAATAAATACAATTAAAATAATCTTTATTGGAAAAATTAAGTTAATATATAGCAATTAAATGCAAGATTATTATCAAAATTTTATTTTACAAATCAAACGAAACCCAAAAAAAAAATAATTTGACTTTTTTTGAGAATAATTTATTGACAATGTCACTTTATCGAATCTAATTAGAATTGATTTAGAGTATCTATTTTTTTTCCAGTTGGTTTCTTACTTGAACCAGCTATTTGTGTTCCTGATGATGCACCATTCGACCAAAACATAACTCGATTGTTGTTTGTATCTGCTATGTAGATATTACCATTTGAGTCAACAATAACTCCGGTTGGATAATTTAAATTGTTTAAAGCAGTAGTTGGTGTTGCATTTTGACCAGCTATTGTTGTTCCAGTTGATGCACCTTTCAAATATTTTTGAACTCGATGATTATCTGAATCACCAATATAAAGTGAATCACTTGAATCTAATGTCAAATGATAAGGAGTATGTAATTGATTCGAAGACGAACCCGATGAACCCGTTATACCAGCTATAGTCACGCCTGTTGAGTTCCAACGAAGTGAAGTACTAGCAGCTATTAAAGAAAATTCATTTTTATTCTATTATAATAACAATAACTATAATTTATTTTTGAAAATAATAACTTCATCTACTCTATCACATGAATTCCTATTATTGATAATAATCAATTAAAATTTATGCTTTTTCTATGAAGCATGTTATTATGTAGAAACGAGTATAATTCTAATATGACAAACGAACACAAGAAGAGAAATCAAAGTTTTTCGATAGCAAAGAAGACTTTTTTTTTCCTTTAAAATACTCAAAAGATAGGATAATTTTTAGGTCTTATATGATTTTTACTTGTTGTGCTAGTTAATGTTGTTTCCGTTCGACGAATAAGTAAATAAATGGAAATGGCCATTGCTGCCATGACAAATAAAGAAATAATTGTTCCGTAAATGATAATCAGTGTCTTTAAACATTTGCTATAACTAACATTTGAATCAAGTTTTAAGTTTTGTTCATGTTTCGTTTGAGTTAATGAAAAGTAATTAGGAAAGATTTCTTGTTGCTTTCGTTTTTCATCAGTCTTGAATGGTTGATAATAGAGTTCGTTTCTATATTAATGAAAATAGAAAACGAATATGTTATTAGATGTTTTTTTGATGATATTTTCAACATAATCCATTGAAACTAATGAAGTCGACCAAGGTTGTTCGTATTGATTGTTATTATTGTTTAATTTGATTTGTTTTGTTGATGATCGTGGTTGAATACCTTGTGATTTAGTTGATATATTCTATTGATTATCCAATATATAACTATTTCCATAATGTTCTCCACTATAATTTGGTCTTATCTAACATAGATAAATAAGAATTAAATATGATTAGAAATAAAAATTCGTTTATATAATATTACCTTAGATGACCATTGAGGATTAATTCGTCTTAGAACAATTGGCACACGATTATATTCATATTGATCCATTCATTGAAGCGTGTTACTAAAAAAAAATCTTTAAGCAAATGATTACAATTATTGTTTTTTAGATTGAATGCAAATGAATACAATTCTATATATAATAATTGACAAAGAAGCCATAATAATATCTTCGATTGTACCATCTTTTGTCCGAGCGTCGATATTTATGTTATTTCAGTTATTTTTTTTTACTGGTAGATTTGATCATTGATCGAAACAGTGTTATTGAGTGAACGATCATTATCAGTCGATACATTCGTTATTTACTTTTTAATAAATAATCGTTTTAAACTCATCATCACACTATTAAACATATCTAATATAGACGTTCTTCTTTCGATTTAAGAATTTCATAGAAATAAAAAAAGCAATAGTCGCTATTTAAAGAATTAAATCTCATATTTTAAATTTGAACTCAATCGATATTAAAATAAATCAATATGAATAAATATATTCTACCCATGTAACCACGAAACGCACAATGGACGCGGCTAGATGCGTTTCTGTTGAAAATATTGGCGTTCTGACGCGTTTTTATTGAAAATGCCGGCGTTTCGACGCGTTTTCGTATTAAAGAATAATGGAAACGCGTTCGGTTTGAACGCGTTTAAAGAGCATTACGAGCTTGATAGCAAAAACTGAGATAAACGCGTACACATGCGTTTTTATTTTCGTTCGAAACGCGTTGGTCTGCTCCAGACCTTTTCATGCGTTTAGAAATATACTCAGCAATTAAAAGAAGCTATTTACCAGCCGCTAAAAATGCTTTTTGTTTATTATTTCTAATTTGTGTTAGTCAAAATATATTGAATATTTATTGGCAATATCTGGAAAAAAAGGAATGCAAAAAACAAGCCGATCTTTTTAAATTAAAATTGACTATTTTTTGTTGAATAGATGACAAAAAATATCCTTTTATTTTTGTTTGAAATAAGTTGATGCGTGTTGAATTGTCAATAAATATATAACGATGTTTGAATTATTAAAAATTAAAAATATTGTTGAAATAATAAGTTTTCTACATTTAAAAAAATAATATTAATACAAATAGTTTTGTTTATATTTAATGATATAATAATAAATGGCCTTTTATTTGGTTTTATAAAGTAAAAAAAAATGAGTCTTTCATTTTTAGAAAATAAAAATTTGATGATTTTTTTTCACGTAAAAATCTAAGATTTTATTTTTTCCATATATTTCAGAGAAAACTGTATTATCTTCATTTTAAATTGTATAATTGTCTACCTTTAAATAAACTATTTTCATTCTTTAATTTCTCTATTTTGTAAAAAAATAAAGAAACTTAATCTTCTTTATTTTATGAAGATAAGGATTTTATTTTGTAAATGTAAATATTTTATTTAATAAATATTATAAATTTAAATATTTTATATATGATTATTTTATGAAATACAGATAAATCATAAATAAAATATTCATATTTACAATATTTACAAAATAAAAATAAATAAAAAAATCTTCATTTTTTAAAATTAAAATCTTAAAATCTTCATTTTTATTTCATAAATGTAAATTTTCTATTTTATGGATATTATAAATATAAATATTTTATTTATAATTATTTCACGAAGTAAAGATAAATCACAATATCTCCATTGTGAAACCTTATATTAAAGAGAGAAAAAAGAATTATTCATTTGGTTCAATGATATAGAAACACTTTCGAGGCATGGATGGCTCAGAGCTAGTTGTGCTTGGTTCGCAATCAGTTGGTTGCGTGTTCAAATCTCGGTTCAAGTTGTCGCTGAAAAATTACCATTCGGTCGCTGACAGGATTTGAGTCTTATATCATAGCTCGCTATGGTGCATCGGTTCGATTCCAATATAGGGTGATGATTATTTTTGAATTTTTTTTGGGAATAAATTAAACGCACGAATTTAAACCAGTGTAGATGCGTTTATTGAATGAAACGCGTTTGAACGCCCTAAAATGTTGCATTTTGGACGCGTTTTAACGCGTCACGTTATATTGCACAAACGCTCGGAAACGCGTCACTAATCCTAAAAATGGTTACATGGGTATTGTGTGATTTTAAAAAAAATTGAAATTGAATAGAAATCTGAGAAATGCTGCTTACTACATCTTAAATGAAACAAGATCAGCAGCAAAGCCAGAAAATTGAAGTCGATTTGAACTGTAAGAAAAAAAAAAGAATCTTATTTAGTCAAGTCAATTTTTGTTTATATAGTACTATTGTTAACTGTTTAAATAATGTTGATTGCCTTCACTCTTTCCTATATTTATTTTTGTTTGACACATCACTTTGTTTTTCATAGTTAACAATTGGGATCGATCAATCTCTAGATGATATTTTCATCTTAGTTGGTAACAGCAACAACAAAAAAATCGAAGATAAAAACCGAAAATTGAAAATACTAGATTTTTCTTTTCAAAAAATGACTTCTTTCGAATGTTCGAATTTTTTTGAATTGAAAACTCTATTTACACATCAAGTGAATGTCAACTTTTCATAATGATCAAGTAAACTTTTGTAAAAATAATATATAAAAATAACGAAACAAAAAAATTCCTCCTTAAAGTTTGACTTTCATTTATCTCATATAGAAATAATTCAATTCTACATGTATATAAGATATTTTTTCTCAATATTACAAACTATTGGAAATTTGATTGATTGAGAATTAAAATTAGCAAATGAAAATATTTTTTCATTTGATCATCGATTATTTAGTTATTGTTTTTCTTTTCTAATCATAGTTATAATAAATCGATGATGATCAATATTATCTTTGTCGTGATGATATATTTTATATAAAGATACTATCTCAACTTTGATACTTATTTTTGTTGATGAGTGAGTCCAGTTTGTTCAAATCAAGATGAACAATTCTATCACATAAATGTCAAACTCAATCAAGAAAATGACGAATTCAGTCAACAATTGATAAATGTCCTATTTATACGGATACTATAGCGTTTGAAAAAACTTGTTGAATTCGATAATCCAATCGTAGAATGAAAAGATTATCAATTTATCGAAAAATTAAAAAAAGATGATCAACTAAGGCATTTCTTTAAACATTAAATTATCAATTAATTGGTTAAACAATTAAAAAAAAGCAATCTCTAATGATTATCTTATTTATGCTTTCCATATTTAGTCGACTGAAGATCTTTATACAAATGGAAATTTAGGAGAATTTATTTTGACTTGGTTAACTAAAAAAGAATTATTAATAATTAATATATATATGACATAAGAATTAATTGATAAACTTTAAATATATTTATGAAGTCAAATATTTGAATTAAAATATCATTTCGATGTATTTTATTTATTAAATAAATAATAGAGTTAGAAAATAGAAAAAAAAACATATTCTCTTTAATGAACTTAAAAAAATATGTTTCATTTTCAAGATAATCATGGATGATATCTAGAGATAAATCAAATTATTTCTATAGATGTTGATAAGATCAATATTGAATTTCACCTGTTTTTCAAAATCTTATCTTAATTCTATAGTTATATCCTTTTTTCAATTAAATATATTTTCTTCTAGAATATATGACAGATATTAGTTATATTTTTTTTTGGCAACTTATTCTTATATAGACTAATATTAACAATCTATTGATAGTAAATAATCAGTTTTCATTTCTTTTTTATATAATCGATAGATGACACAACCATAATAGAGATGTCCAACGATTAGATCTACTAAATCTTACTGCATTTTTTTTTCTTATTTTTTAACTATGAAAACGAATCTCTTTTATTTGGAAAGATAGACAATATCGTGTTTTAGAAAAGTGTCAATATTATTTTTCAAACAATTTTTATTTTCTTTATAAATGTAACATTTAAAAGATTGATATTTACTAAATCATACTATTCGCATTTTCTATATTGTCATAAAAATTAATAATTAATCTATGTCTTTCCTTATCAAATTCAATACTAAAATGAAATAAGTTAACACGAATAGATAGAGAATTTCATGCTCGATGTATTCATAAACTTTTTAAGGTTGCTGATGCTCTTCCTATCGATAAATATATGTTTTCAAGAAACAAATATACTCTATGTAAAATATAGTATAATATCATTATATTTAGAGTTTAAATGTGAATAAAATAATCGAATTGTTAAATAAAACATTGAAAAATCTATGTTTTGTTTCGAGACAAAAAAAATACAAATGACTTAAGTAAAAATAATAATTAGTTTATTTTGTTTTATTTAACCGACTCAATCATATGATTGATAATATATTCATCTGTTAAATTATGCATTTATAAATAAAAAATTGTTTTAAAAACAAAATTGACAATATTGTAGATATTTGTGAAATTTATCCTAAAGACATCCAATAAATATATAAAAAACAATTATAAGAGTATAGAAATATGCAAGTCAACTTAATTAAAAAGAATTTTGTTTAAATAATTATTAATCATTTATATAAATAAAATGTTTGATTTCGTTTAAGATCAAGAAAAGTAAAAACAATATAGTGTGAAAGATTCAATAAGCTTCTCGAAATTTTAGTCTGATAGATTTGACAAAATAGTTTTTGTTTAAATTTGAACTCAAAAAGTAAATGAAGACTTATTTATTAGCGAGAAGAGAAATATGTTTGTAAGCACTTTTAAATCGATGTTTATTTTACTTTCAATAAAATATCATAATAGGTTTTTATAGTGTTAGTCGTTGAACAAATCGATAATATTATTCGAAGATAATAATATAGTTTGATATGATAATTATTTTAATTTTCTTCGTATTCTTTGTAAAAGTTCTTGTTGATGTTGATTATTTGTTTTTCCATAGAATATACTGTTATTATGATTATCATTAATTAAAAATTTTAAATCAAAATAATGTTCTAAAATATGACATCCAACTTTGCTTACTGCAACTGCTGATAATTCTCGAACAATAGATTGATTTTCTCCATAGAATAATATTGTTTCGAAGAAATTTTCAACTATTAAACGAAAAATCGATACATTCGAACGTTTTTGATATTCAGGATGAACAACAATTGAACATATATATAAAGAATAATTTTCATCATATTGATCATTCCATAATCTAATATCATCATCATTTATATCAGTTAATTCATCGAAATCAGCTTGAAGAGTTTTAATGAAAGCATCATGTTTAAGTGGTATTGCACAGATATAACCAATAATAATATTATTATCTTTAGCTATCCACCACATTGAAGGATTACATCGATACCATCGAATAAGTACGTCAGATGATAGAACTATTGAACCATTGTAGACTTTTCTTGCTAATAGCTCAATATCAATCATTGTTTGGTTAGCTTCTTCATTCAATATTTTATGAGTTATTGTCAACGATTTTGATTCCATCTGTTTAGAGATTAAACAGATTTCAAATATAAATTTTTAACCTATATCAATTATCTAGAAATAAAATTCTAATCATATTAATATGAAGTATAATTGTGGACATTTATTTAATGTGGGGATTGTCAATGACACAATAGATTATTCAGGATAAATTGTTTTTCTTTTTAAATAAATAGTTATCATAAACATGAGTTAATATTATATAAAATAGACGCTTCTTATCTGAATTTTATCTTTTTTTTTCTCGTTCTGTTTAGTTTTTATTCTTTCCATAGGGTCTCAATCACACAGAACGAGGTAAAACTGAATTAACCAATCAACTTGTTAGAAACGTAAAAACAGAGATAAGTCATCTTTTTTTAGATGACTTAACGTTAATGCAGCAATCAGGCATGATTCTGTTTTGCCAATAAAAAAAAAAACATGTAGCGCCTCATATATGTGCACTTTTTCAACCAAGTATATGTACATGAACATGTCCGTCATGGGTGTGGGGTGTGAGTGTGAGTTCTCTTCCTACTCACACCCACACCCTATTTAACTAAGATATTAAATGAGCAATATTTCTAAATGCTACTATATATAAAAATAGATCATAAAAATTTGTTAATTTCTATATATGCTTGTAGAGCAAGTAAGTGTTCAAATGTTGATTTTAATAGATATTTATTAACTGTTTATTTTTATCAAAAATAGCTCTGCCAAAAATATCAGAAAAATCAGCGTCCGAACAAAAAACAAGACTGATTGATATAAAAATATGAAATATATGTAGTAGATAAGTCTGAATAGCTTTCTATGATATTCCTTGCAAATAATAATAAAATCAAATAAAAAATTTCTTAATACAATCGAATATATAATTTGATTATAAAAAAAAAAGACTTGATGTTACTTTGCAATTGGCTATACACACAAAAAAATAAATCATAAAAGATCTTTCAATATAAAATCAACTGAATAAAACTCACCTTTAATTAACTTCGACAGTTAAAACAAGGAAACTTTCATTTTACAAATACTTTCTGCAATTCGAGTCAATTAAATACTTCTTTAAAAAAAACATACGAAAAATTTATTAATGAGAAACCAAAGAAGAATTGCTATTGAGTTCGATTGATTATTTGATGAATATTCATAAGTACGAAAAACTCAATCATTTATTATCTTGTCATTCTATAAATTTATAGACATTTCTAAATTGATACTGATATTTAAACAAGTTAATTTACTCGGTTTCGAGAGACGTTCAGAATATCGACGTACTTGTTCCAATTAACAGCGAGATACAAGTACTTTATAATGTGTACCAAAATTGACGAGAAATGCTCCCTGTTTAACATATCCATCGCATGGATTTACAACAGTAAGTAATTCTCTGGCACGAAAAATAACCAATTGAATATGATATTTGTCTGATATAGCTATATTTGCCATTTCATCTCCATAGATATTTGGATCAGACATTGAATTAACTCAATCTTTCAATTCTTTTTCACTTATCTTTTCTCCAGGTCTTAATACAGTTGAATAATAGAGTATATCACTCAACACTTGTTCAATAGCTCGATCACATAATTCGCTATGATATACATCCGATTGGCTGTAATCCTAAATTTCCAGAATATATTCGTTGATTATTATTGATGAACTTGGAATATTTGAAATCAACATACCCGATATGAGAATAGTTTGAAAGGCACATACCTAATAAGGATATTATAAAAGTACAATAATAAGAATAATTTTACAACAAAGTATATCGACTTTTACACCATCGCCAGTGACTTCAACAGAATGAAGTCCAAATTGATGTTGTATCTCGACATCAAGATTGTATAAATCAATATTCAAATTACTTTTTGCTGCTGTAGTTAATTGAATAAGGCGTTTACCATATGAATCTGACTGAAAACGATCGTTTCGTTCAGTTGCTGCAACAATTTCTTTCATTTGATCGTATAGATCAGGTGTTGAATCAAGTTTTTAATTTAAGAGTAGTTCACTGAGCAGTTCAATTCGACTTGATATTCCTTCACAGTTTGGTTCAAGAAGTCGGCATACCTTATTAATACAAATAATATCAACTAAGACTTTTAGCAATTGATATCATCATTGACCTATTTTAAGGTAAGCATTGATAGATCAGTTAGGGATTTAAAAACCAATTTAACAGGTGAAAATTTTACCCTTATATTATTCTATTATTTTAATGATTTTCAAAACTCTATGGTGAATTTTGAATTCTAATATGATATGTTATAAATGTTTTTAATTGAAAAAGATGAACATTTTTTTAAATAAGACATTCTTTTTTTCTATTTCACACTTAATTCTTAACAAATTTATTCATAAAGATCTATTTGTTCGTACCAAATAAATACACTACTAATAAATAGGAAACATTGAAACTCTAACAAAAAAATGCATTTTATTAAATAAGTTCAAACTTTTTTTTAATATAAATTTACAAAATAAAAATAGACGTATTGATAAATATTTCTAGTAAATAACTTAATAAATTAATCAAATATAGGCCAACGAAAATCATAGTCGTTTTCAACTGGAATGGTTAATTGGGAAAAGAAAATTTTTCAATGATGGCTTTTAGTAATTTATCTAATCGGTTCAATCTTCTTGAATCGGAATTATTATAAATTTCGATTGATTATTCTTATTTACTTGAATGTTTTTGAAAAACATACAAAAATATTGTAAACTTTGTGAATTCTATTCGACATAATATCTACTAATCAAGTACAATTAGTTAAATAATTGAAACTATAAATGTATATTGAATTAAGAAAGATAAATCAACGTTTTAACAAATCATGTTTTCAATATCTAATATAATGATCATCTTGTATATATGAATTGATAGGTGAATTATTCGAGAGAAAACTTTAAAAATAAACTATCACTAAATATAATAGAGTATCTTTGACTAGATATAGTTAAAATAAAACTAGAGACCAACAATATTCATTCGTATTTAATGCAAGATCGTTAATATCACAATTGTTTGAATATTCAAGTTTGAAAAGATATTTATCTGACCTAGAAATGTTTACTAATAGAAATCAAATTCGAAGAGTTAACAAATAAAACTTCGAGTAATTCAGCATAATTAATTTAATACTTAAACTTTATCCAAAGATGGATTTAATTGTTTTTCTTTTTTGAAAATGTTTAGAATTCGATGATAAAAGCACATTTTCATTATAGATATTATATTATTATGAAAGTAGCATAAAATATTGTGTATTTTCTTTGTTTTATTGAAGTTAATAATTTATTTAAGGAAATTTTATTTTTAAAAAAACTCATTTTCCAATGTAATTCTATGTTTAAAGAGCAAAATCGTTTTAAATACAATACCGGTGAGTAATTATCGCATTTTTTTATTGTTTGTTGATATTGTTCAATGTTTGATTTGTTATTATTATCGTTATTGTTTGTTGATTCTATTGATAATGGATTAGTTTCTTTAAAATCCATAATTATTGTCTTCTCATTCATATATTCTCGAGATTTATCTTCATCGTTTTGAATATTTTAATCATTTTCAGGATTAATGGATATTGATTTATTGTATTGAAAGTTGTGAGATGTTCGATCATCTTTCAATTCATTGTCAGATGTTAATTGTTTTTTGCTGCAGTTCATCGGATAAAATATCATTTTTTTGAATAATATCATAATCATGTTCGTTGTCTATGGAATTAATCATGACGAATTCAGTGCTCTTCGAACTGTTAAGTATTGGTTTTTTAATAGAATAGTCAGCTTGGTCTTCAGTATAATGTCGATGACGATTGATTTCATGTTCTTGAAGTTGATTATTGTCTGAGTTTCGATGGGCGCTCTTTTCATCGTTGGAATGCTTTTTCATGAGATTTTAAAATATAACCATCACGTTCTTCATTCTTAATATAAGAATAAAAATTTCAAAACTAGTTCAAACATCATTTATTCAAATGATATGTGAAAATTTTAAAGATTATTAATCAGTTATGAACGAATTTCTAGTAAATACGATAATTGTTTTCAAAATAACTGCTTTTATTACTCTTTGATTTTTAAAAAAATATCTATTTTTTCGTGTAGTTATTTCACTTACACAAATCAGTTTATCACTATCGAACAACTGTGTGTTTACGTTGTCTGAATCCACATTTTCTGCCATAATTGATTTGTTTACTTTAATAAATAGATATTCGAAGATTATCAATGAATGAACGATGAGCTTTTGTAGATCGTTGTAGAGTTTCAATTTATTGACTTTCTTAGTTAACTAATAAAAAACTGTTTAGATTTTTAATATGCTAATATTCTAAGAATCAAAGAAAAATTTATATTAAGACTTTTTCTTTGTTCACACATCGAGAAATGTCATCATCAATTCTCAATTCTCAAATTCGAAAAAAGTATAATTAGTCTCCTTTGAATTGTGATTGATAAGTATCGGGAAAAAAGAACTGTCGACACTCTCGGTTGTCATTAAGAGAATAACTTAATAAATTCATTGATAATCATCAATAAATTTTTTATATATTCAACTAAAGAGATCGTTTCATCAGGTAAATAGGTCAATACTTAATATGAATTATTTGAAAATTCTATGATTTATTTTCGATCGAATGCCAATAGAATTATATCTAAAACAAAGGAGAATTATAAGATGGTTGAGTTATGCTTCTACTATCTACGAATCCAAAATCAGATTTATTCTAAAATTCAAAGGATAAAATAATATTCGAATGATTTTCTATTATGAAATTATGTTTTGATTGCTTTACACGAATCTTATTATCAATGTAAGAGGTTGAAATAAATGCTGCTGACATTCTCTATCAGTCACCAAATAAATAAAACATTGTAATGCAATCAGTTCGGTTTGACAGCCGACTATTACTATTGATTTATCAAATATAAACATTTCGAAATTGATAATTTACAAAAAGCTTAATACCTGTTTAGAATCCTATTTTGATTAACTACTACACATAGAAATTCGTTTTCAGATTTCCAAAACACACTGAATTGATTAACTCCTTTAAACATTATGGGCTCAGTACACGAAAATTGTGATCTGCTATGATTAAGAAAACAATCTCAAATAGCACTAAAAAGGTATATGACAAGTTTTATTTGCTTATCATGGTCATTACTTTTCGATCATTAATAAAACGAAAGAAAAAAAAAGAATGAAGTTACTCAATCTTGTTTGATCATTTTAAAAATGCTTATTACGTATAGAAGTTCTTGTAAAAGTTAATCGTATGATAAAGCATGCGTCCAAATGCTGCCATGACTTAAATGAAAATATATAAGTATATTGAACGACTTTTTGATATAAAATTATTTTGTTTTAACAGCAGCGAAAAGATATGTAATTGACACCAAAGAACGACTAACGAAAATGACAGAATTTACTTTTGCAGAAAAACTGCAAAAGTAAATTCTGTTTAGACTAACTTTATGTTGAATATTACTGATATTGCGCAATTACATTAGCACTATTTAATAGTGACATACACCATACCATTGAATGTTTTTTTTTCGTTCTTCGTTTAGTGTACATATAGGCTGTTTCAAACTAGCGAACTAATGTATTTTACTACACGATGACGTCATTTTACATTCATTCTGTTGTTTTCCACCTATATCGATAAATGTGGAAAACACCCTCCCCCCCCCCCCCCCCCCCCTCGTCAGCGATAGAACATGCGTCCAAATGCTGCCATGACCTAAATGAAAATATATAAGTACATTGAACGACTTAATGATATAAAATTATTTTGTTTTAACAGCAGCGAAAAGATATGTAATTGGGTGTGGGTGTGGGTGTGTGCGAAAATGTATTTAACCACACCCCACTCACACACCCAGGCCCACACCCACACCCACACCACCCACACCCACGCCCACACACCCACACACACCCACACACCCACACCCACACCCACACCCACACACACCCACACCCACACCTCACAGCCACAGCCACACCCACACCCACACCCACGCCCACACCCACAC